GGATTTAATGTATATTCCTTATGTAAGGGTTCTAAAGTCTCCTGGGTAGATGTCTTAAGCCCTGCCATGAAGTCAAAAGCCCTAGTAGAACAGTAACAGGTACGAGGCGATAAGAAGATGCTATGATTAGGCTTCCGACCTGTGTGGGTATATATATATATATATTCAACACCTTAAACATCCCGAGGAGGCAAATACTCCTTCCTTTATGTGGTCTTGTTCTCGAAGCGAAGATTCCCAAACAGCGATAAAGCAACGACCGACGACCATGACTTCCATCGACGCGACCACGACCACGACGACCAAGACGACCACGACCACCGGGAGACCACCAGAACACCGCCAGGACACACAGGCCAAACTGCTTCCCGAGTACTGGCAGGATTAGAGACTTCGAAAAGCGGCTCGTGTGATGGAATTTACAACTGCAATGAATCTGGCTTTCCCGTTGACAGTGCCCGACGGATCCTGTGTAAATAAGTCTTCAAGAAGACGTGGGCACAAAATCTGCTCCGCGCCACGGCGGCAGCCGCATCCCGTTTCCGCGGACCGCCGTGCGGCCACCCCAACCAGCTCTTTCTGCAAGTTACATGTATCACTGTCACACAGTTTGGGGACTATGGGTTTGATAGGGCTTTAATCGACCACTGATTGAAAGGAATTCGCTGGGAATCGTAAGGTATATTCCGTTCACGGATCTTGAGCTCTCTAGGGGTTTAGGGTTTAGGGTTTAGGGTTTCTTTTCCTCATGAGTAAAGACCGCTTCCCTGACCCGCAGTCCGTTGAGGCAGTACATTTTGGACTTCTCCAGCCTACAGCAGGATGCTATCAATGAGGCGGAGGAACGCGCACAGATAGAGGACCTGAGATGAGCTTCGGAGTGGTGTGGGGTTTAGGGCTTGAGGGTTTAGGGTTTGGAGTTTTAGGGTTTGGGATTTCTGCAGACCTGTTTGTCCCTTTGGCCGCGGATCGGCACAGTCTCAGGTATCCCGGAGAGGTATTGCAGTCCGGAATTATAAAGGTGTACGTCGGCTGCCTAACTTCTGAACGAAGGTTTCAGTATTGTGGATCTTCCTCTATGGAGAAATAAGCTCGCGCAAGGACATGAAATCCGCGGTAAGACATGCAGAAGAAATGGAGACGGACAGGTGTTCCTCCCCTTTACGTAATGCCTTATATAAACGTCTTTTCAATCCAATTGTCGGCATTGTTTTGAATGGTATCCCCTTGCAGTCCAGTACAATTCTACCATGATAGCCCCAACAGCCTATTCAAGTCTTCCGGCCCGTAATGCACCCCCCCCCAGTCTGAGAATCGTGAAACCAAGCTCATAGGGCTGTGCTACACGTGATTCCCCAGCATTTGAGTGGTTGCGACACTTGGAGATCGCAACATGTCGGTTACTGTGGAAGTTGGAGTGCTGAGCGGCACGAAAGCCCATGATGAAAGCGTGGACACCTTGAAACGGCGGGCCACTGTTGGTATAGCTTGACCCATTGACGATATCAACTGCTAGCCCGGTCGCACCTGTCCCTCACGGCTTCAAGTTGTAAGTTGTGTCGCCTCTGCTTGCTCTAAGACTTTTGTTTACCTAGGTTGGTCTCCTAGGGGTTTAGGGTTTAGGGTTTAGGTGGGTTGAGAACCGGATCCCTGAAACAGGAGGACGAGAAGAAGAAGGTGAAAACCCTGCAAGGGCGCGAGCCACGAGACGATGGGCCTATCGAGACGGTCGTGATGAGTGATGGAGTCTTGTCTGGGTACTATGCATCTAGAAGTCATATATTGTCATAACCGCAAACTCCGAGCCCTGTATCCTGACATTTAACAAACCCTAAACCCTAAACCTTGAACCCTACACTTAGTCTCATTCTTCTTATCTTCAGCGTGCGGGGAGCTTACCTGTCGAATCAGGCTCAAGGGTTACATGTGGGAGTTTCCGAAAATGGGGGGGTACCTTATTTTGGGGTCCTTATTATAAGGATCCTATTATTTAGGGTACTATATTAGGGTCCCCTGTTTTCGGAAACCCCCATTTAAATCTTTAGATTCATCCTAATGCCTAGCAATAGTCCCTAAACCCTTAACCCTAAATCATGTAAACCCCGAACCCTAACTAAGTTTAGGGCACTCGCACCAACCCTAAAACCCAGACCCTCGACTGACTTAGAGCTCAACAAATCCGGATGCCTAAGCCTATCAGTTTCTGATTCTTGGGGGTGTTGCGGGTTCTTGCTTCGAGCTGCTGCGGATAGCTGTAAGTTAGGCTTTACTGCTCTACTAGACAGAACTTCCGAGGAAAGTCCTTTTCGAGTCATGAATACCGTGGTATGAGCATCCGAGATGTCAGCTGCTCAGGACAGACAATCACTCTTGATCGCAAGTACATGAAGAGATGCTCGGCATGCATTTTAGGGTTTCGGGTTTGTGAACGGTTCCCGTTTGTGTTCTCATAAGAGGCTACTACAAGCGTCCTGTATGGTGTTTGCGTTTTGAGGTTCAAAGTTTCGACGCTGTGATGCTAAGTAGTGAGGACGCTTGTCGGCTCGATGTTTCTTAGCTTGTGCAGGGGTTTACATCCGACACAACTTGGAGGATCATGGGACTTAGTAGGTAGGGTTTCAGTATTTCAATCGGATTGTAAGTATTTTTAACTATAGTTACCTCATGCACAACCCATTGCCATCCTCCAAGAAGCGTTCATTGAGAGTCTTCTGGCAAACGTAATGATGGGAAGAGCCAGCCAACGCGGCGATCTCAGTGATAGCCTGAAAGCCACTAGAAGGTACATGGCTGATACAAGCAAGGCCACAACCAAGACAAATCACCGTATCACGATGCAGGGACAGCTGGAGGTACTTCTAGGCCTACAGCCAGCTCTCCACGAACCTTTGCCCGGTTACCACTCCGGCTACCCATGCCGATGGTTGTCCGACAAGCTATGTGGCTTGAGGAGATCACATGTCAAAGCAGGTCTGGTTTTCAGCGAACAGCACGGATAAGTCAATACTGGGGTTGAGCAAGCCTGAACCTTGATCCCTGGAGTGTGATCACTCCATCTTGGGATGGCTCGTGCAGTAGCAAGGGCATGTCATCGCCAGGTGCTGAGATCAACAGGCAGACCCGTAATACTTGGGTTTAGGGTTTAGGGTCTAACCCGAATACTTGGGGCCGACTGTCAGTGCCGTGATACCTATAAAGACTACTATACAAACAGACAAACATTATAAAGACCTGATAACGTGACTATAACGGTATGTCAAAACCGTTGAAATTACAAAAAAGCACTGCGCCATCCCTGTAAATAACATCACAAACATGTGCGGAAAGGCATGGCAGAGATCAACAGCAACACCGACTGCTCCAGCGAGAACATTGAAAGCGAAGACGCGTCGGATCCGGCTGGCAGCAATGTGAGCAACTTGGGTCTTGACTGGGGGTTTAGGGTTGAGGGTTCAGAGGGCAACTTGGGGTCCTTACTAGACGCATGGGCCGTGTGTTCTGTTGCAACAGGAGCCTCATTGTAGATCACGGATTAATTTGTTGTGTCCTTTTGGGACCCCAAGAAGTAAGAACCTTACTTCCTTTGTCTACCTTTGTCCCGAGTTGTAGAGTGACTGTCGGGACTTGAATGTGCCATACAGACAGACAGATCGACAGACAGACCGACCGACAGACCGACTGACAGTCTGACTGACTGACTGCCTGGCTGATTGACTGACTGACAGACAGACCCTAGGGGCTTTTATTTTTAGAGTAGGGTTTGAGGGTATATTTCGCTATTAATTACAACAAGGAACCCGGCTGGCTGACTGAAAAGCTGCCTGGCAGGCCGTCCTCCTGACTGACTACGTGACTGACTGACAGACTGACCGAATGACTGACAAACTAGCTCACTCACTCACTCACTCACAAAAGACTGACTAACTAAATGACCTAACTAACTAACTTATTCACGAACAAGGCAGAAAACTAGTTGACTGGCCAACCACTCGGAACCTTGTTGCCGTGAAGATCTCGGAACTTTTGCTTCGCGAAAGCCACAAAAGGCCCCATGTATGTTCCCAAGAGGAGGGCTTTGGGGTTTTCGGTGTTTCGAGTTTAGAGCTTGGGGTTTAGGGTTTAAGTGTATCGAGTTTAGAGCTTTGGGTGCAGGACCTGTAGTAAGAAATCTCCCAAATGCGTTGTCCTTCTCCGGTGGGAGCTCCGCACTACGCAAAGAAAGAACATCTAGCTGTCACTTCGTAGCAGCGTCCGCTGGTGTCAAGAGTCTTGGCAAAGAGGGATGTTGCACCCTCAGTTAACCCTCAGCCCTGAACATAGCATGGGAAACGAAGGTAGCGGTGGTGCTGCCTCACCCGCATCCTACCGGGGAGCTAACACGCGTGTTGCACGGCATCGTTCGGAGCACGGCGATGGCATTCCCAAAGCCAGCCGACTTGAGTTTTGCAAGGGGATCCTTGCTAGCTTCGGCATTCTGCGTGGTGGAGATGATGGAAATGGCCGGGTGAAGCAGCGGGTGGCCAGGAAATTTAGAGAGTTGGACGAGGATGGTGAGGGCATCTCGCTAGCGGACGTAGCAACGCTGCTCACGGATGTCCTCGGGCGGAAGCTGGATCGTGATGCCATGCTGCGACTGGCTGCCAATGTCTTCGACAACGCTGAAAAGTCAGATTCCGGCTTGAGATGTAGGACAGCTTTTCTATTTCAAGTTCGGCTCATTAGAGGGGGCCGCCCAGCATAAGGTTCGCAGCTTCAAGCCCAAAGCCAAGAATCTGCACCTGATATTTCTGGATCCCGAAACCCAGTGAAATCTGTAAACCCGAACCTGAGACCTGAAAACCTGGACACCTAAGCAGCTGGTTTTGGGGTTTTAGGGGTTTTAGGGTTTAGGGTTTAGCGACAAACCGCACCGAGGAACAGGATCTTCTGCAACTGGCAGACGTCTTGGGCTCCCTTGAGTCCGTCACAGCGGACTTCAACGCCCTTGTGAAACGGAGGGAACAGCACCTGGGTTCTGCAATGAGGGCTTTAAAAGCCCAGACACTTTGAATCATAAAAAACCTTACTTGGAGGTACATGGGTAGTTATAAGGTGGGGTTAGAAGTCCCCTAATATGGGTTATAACTATAGTTACTTTACTTATAACCTTTCTTATAGCTACCCATGAACCTCCAAGTAGACGCAACCGAAAAGCTCTAAAGCCTGACGCAATCGCGCTTGTAAGGTTTGGCAGGCTTCAGGTTGCCAGTAGGGTTCATTTTGGCAGCTTATTAGGGACCCAAAAAGCACATCAGCATAAGCTTTTTATAGGGATATCCCTACCTTATTGGGCTTCCTTATAAGAGGATTTATATGGGATATCCGGATCCTAATTTTTGCTTATGTGCTTTTTTGGGGCCCTAGCTTAGGCCTCACAGGTAGGTACCCTACAATGGAGTTGTTGTTGGTGTTGAGCTGTAGTCGCCTTATAAGGAGAGAGTGAAAGAAAGCTAAGAACTAAGCCGGCTTTGCAGCAGGGCACTGGGTCCCGCAGAACCTCAGTAGTCAGTAATCCTGACATATTAAGACACCCGATCTTCCCCTACTTTCCAGCCCTAAGCCCCCAAATGTCGAATCCTGAACTCTGAACCCTGAAACCCTAAATCCTGAAACCCTAAACCCTGAACCCTAAACCCTAAACCCTAAACCCTGAACCCTGAACCCTGAACCCTAAACCCTGAACCCTAAACCCTACACCCCCCTAAACCCTAAACCCTAAACAAACCCTGAAACCCTAAACCCTGAACCCAAAAACCCTAAACCCTACACCGGACCCCGCCACTCCTTTTAGGCACAGCTCTGGCCAGACCGCAAATGATGGCGAGATGTCTTGGGCCTGTGTTCCTAGGTTCTCCCGAATAGAAAGCTTTTGCCGTCTTCGTTTTTGGGGTTTAGGCGGTTTAGGGCTTTTAGGGTTCCCTTATTCAAAACCGAAGAGTAGGAAAAAGGGTACCCTTACTAACTATGATAGGGGGACCAAGGTTCAGAGACTGTCTGGCTTGGTATTGCCACCCGACTCTTGGAATGCAGGGGAGGAGGCTGGGGTTTGGGGTTGTCGTTTTACGGTTTTAGGCCAGGGGTTTAGGGTGGTGATCCGTGCTTCTTTTGGAGTTTAGTAGCCTTTGGGGCTCCGGTGACCTTTAGCTGTAACTGCTTGACGGTCTGATGTTCAACAGCGCCCTGCATTAGCATGCGTTATTTCCCAGAGGGAGCTCCGCAACTCTAAATGGGTAGTTCTCTAAAATAGGTTCCTTGTTTTAGAAACAGGACCCGAAGAGGGATCCCAATTTAGAGAACGACCCGAATCCTAAAAGCCGACCAAGGACAGCATTTGGCTGCGAGTTTGGGACACGCTGCGCAGGGGCGTGATCATTTACTTTATGCTTGAGGTGGGGATTGATTTAGAGTTTTGGGGTTTGGGATGTTGGGTTTGGGTCTTGGATTAATGCTTGAGGTGTGGGTTTTGGGTTTATTTGTTGTTGAAGGAACCCAATGCATAGGACTTCACCATACGACGGATTCCTCAAATGGAGGACCGTCAACAGAGACAAGACTCGTTCGATCTAAAAGATGATTTCTTAGGCTCTTAGGATTCCTTATTGTATCTTTGCTATAAGATACCCTGCAACCCTATTCTAGTTTTTGGAGCCCCGATATTGTGCAGGTCCCCATGCGCTTTGCCATCAGCAACGTGGACATGCTGCCGGAGCCAAGCCGGACCATCTTCTTGACGATTAACGTCTCCTTTGATGCCTTCATGTTTCTGAAACTTATCAGCTGAGGTAGTAAGATGTTTTCCTTTACCGGGTTATACGACCCCTGACTAAGTCTCACTTGCCCTCGGATCTCAAGTACCCTAAACCCTAAACCCTAAACACCTTGAGCCCTAAGGAACCTGCTGCTCACCTTCATGCGGGGTTACGTCCAGAGCTCCGGTGTCACGGTCATGGACTTCCATCAGATTCGCGTGCGATACCTCCTGGGCAATTTCAGTTGGGATGTTCTCGCTTGCTTTCCCATTGATCTGCTGGTTGCTGGATTCTATGACTCGCGGGAGTATGCGACATGGAGGCGCCGTTTGTCCCATGTTTCAGGGAGCCTTCGCAAGGGCTTTGCTGCAAGGTTCAGGCAGAACGGACCCCCGAAATACGCCCCGTCCATAAGGATATCCATATATGTCCCTTGATGCATCATTGGCTCACGATCAGGCCACGGGTTCTGCAGGGAAGATCAAGACTAATTGAGATTAAAGGGTTTATTTTTGTTTTGTGCGTGCGGTAGAGTTTGCCTGTAGCCACCAATCTTATCTTCTGTTGATAACCTACAAGGAAACCAGATGTGCATGCTCATAATCACACAAGCTAACACATCAAGGAAGCTTGCGACAATGGCACTTTTTGTCGCTGCAGCGAAAAACTGCCTCAATCTCGAATCCCAAACTCTAGATTTGGCTTCGTGAGCCCGAAGCCCTGAAATGTTTAGTGTCCAGGATTCAGGATCTTGATTTAGGATTTCTGGTTTAGTGTTTGGGGTTTAGGGGAGTGTTCAGGGTTTAAGATTTAGGTGCAGGATTTGAGTCTGGGTTCAAAAAAAGATTTAGGGTTAGGGTTTAGGGTAGTGCTCAGGGCTTAAGAACTTCAACGAATGGTGCTCAAGGAGACAGACAGACTGAGCCTTCTTGGCCAGGCACAGTTTAGGGTTTTTGGGTTTCAGGGTTTAGGGTTTTAGGGTTTAGGATTTGAGGGTTTAGGGTTTCAGTAAGTAATAGCAGCTGGAGGGTTTACGCGCTGTCTTGTGGAGTTTCCCGGCTGCTTGCAAGAGTCCTGGATGCAAAAGTAAGTAGTAGCACTGGCCGAAGGGTTAAGAGACAACGAGCATAGTACTTGTATGGCCTGATTGGACCTAAAACCCTACGATCACCAATTCCCTTAGCCCTACACCCTGGCTGCGCAAACGGCCCCTAAACCCCAACCCTCTAGACCCATATCCCACTCGGACGATACCAGGCAAGGTCTCGTATATCTGCAGACCTTTCCTGGTATCGTCCGAGTGTGAGTGTCAAAAAAATTCTATACCCCCAAACACCCTAAACTGTAAACTGCAAGAAATCCTATCCCCAAAGCCCTAAACCGCAAAAAATCCTACACCCAAAAGCCTTAAACTGCAAAAACTCCTATTTCCCCGAAACCCTAAACCGCAACAAAATTTTACATCCCAAAAGCCCTAAACCCGGCAGGTTGTTCAAGCTGCTCCACTTGCGCCACTTATTTGGTAAAGGCCAGGGCCGCGTCTCGGAGACCTCGGGAGGCTTCCTCTTCACCTGCTTCAAGATCATGCTGCAGCTCTATGTGCCCGTTTTGGGATTTAGGGTTTAGGGTTTAGGGTTTGGGGTTGGGGGGAGGGGGGGAGGGGCTTCAAGATCATGCTGCGGCTCTAGGTGCCCTCTTGCGATTTTTGTTGGGGGGTGTTTTGGGGAGGTTGGGGATGTTATGAACTATAGGGGTTTTAGGGTTTAGTATTTAGGGGTTTAGGAGTTATAGGCTATGGGGGTTTAGGGTTTGGGGCGTGAGCTCCGGGTTGGAAAAAGGGCGCGGGGCACGTTTTGGTTTGATTTGTACGTTGATTCCTTTTGGCATATTCTGTTCGAACCCATTCTCATCCCAAACCTGGAATGTTGTTAATTTCGCTTCGCTGGCTTTTAATTAACCGCTTTCCGAAGTCAAAGAAACATTTGACCTGCAACCAAATCCCTTAGACCCGGTACCGCTTACTATCCCTCAGAGCATGTCGTGCAAACTTAGGTGCTCTTGCACTTCATGGCCTGTACCCTCTGGTATCTTGGCAATGGATGGCCTACAGACATTGAATTCCAGGAACAGCTGCTGGGCTCTCAAATTCAGAAAAGTAATTTGTTTTTGCCATCAGAAGGACAGCATATGATGCAACACGTTTATCTTTAGGTTCGCGTTCTCATTCTATCTATGTGCTTGGTTTGTTCTGCTTAGAGATCCCCCTCATGCTTGTATAAGCCCTGTCGAAGAAGATAGAGCGAACCTTACGTAAGCACTTCATGTTGCTTAAGATTAGAGCCCAGGACTACTTCGGGCTACGACGGGCCTGGATGGTTCCGCATCTATGAAGGCATGTCGCATCGGCTGGGTGTCGTGAACCAGCCGCATGTGCCGGTACTGGAGCAATATGTGCTGTCTTTGTATGGGATGATGCTCCTGTTGACAAATGACAGCACCGATCTGCTAAACCCCTCCAGCTACTACGAGCTGGGGTGGCTCATAGTCTGCTTCATCGTGTCCGTGGCCCTGAACCTCGGGCTGCAGTAATTGTCACGTCATTAAACCCGTAAAGCAACAGGCTTCACACTCACGGAACGCAGCAAGCCCGAACTCACTCTAAAGCCTTACGGCGACACCCCAGGCTTACGACAGTTGGGTTGAAGGTTTATGCAAGGGTTGCTGCAATGGTTGAGGACAGGTGGCGGGCCTCAAGGTTCATGCAATTATTATTGAGCCCTGTCATAGCTCTAAAGCCCCAAACCCTAAACCCTACATCCCTAACCCAAAACCTTAAACCCTATACTATAAACCCCAAACCTTAAACTCCAGACACTAAACCCCAAACCCTAAACCCCAAACCCTATAAACCCCAAGCCCTAAACCCCAAACCCTAAACCCCAAACCCTAAACCCAAAGCCCTAAGCGCCAAGCTTCCAAGTCCTGAAACCCTAATCCTGCCCTAAACCCTAGACCCTAAACCCTAAACCCTAATCCTAAACCCCAAACCCTAAGATCGTCCTCAAGCCCAGGAATGGTCACATTGATGGAGCCCTGGTTGGGAAAGTCATCTCACAGGACGAGTCCATTGTGGAGTCGCGGGTGATGCGATCTCGGGCCCCTTGGTTTGACAAGGGTTTCGGGGTTTAGGATCTAGGGTTTAGGGTTTAGGGGTTTAGGATCTAGGGTTTAGGGTTTAGGGTTTAGGGGTTTAGGGTATGGGGCTTCAGCGGTTTAGGGTTTCAGGCTTCGTGCGGGTAGTCGTCTACACACTAGGGTCCTTATATGTAGGTCCGCAATATAGTAGGACACCCTTATAAAAAGGACCCTGGAAGGCACCTTGGCTGAGAGAAGTACCCGGATGTTTAGGGTTTAATTAGGATTATCGGGGTCTTGATACTTACCCCTAGAGCTCAAAATATGCAAATAGTACCTGCTTTGGAGTCTATAGCCTTTGTCTAAGGTAGAACCCATGGGCCCCTAGTATGGGCCCTTAACCCTGGGACCCTAATATACCTACTATATACCCTATATATACCCTTAAGAGACCCTAGAATCCCCTAAGGGCCCATGTTAGGGGCCCATGGGTTCAATCTTAGCCTTTGAAATGGTACCTGTTTTGGGCCATTTGGAGCTTATGGCTGCTAGGCAGGAAAGACTGGGTTCTTGTTAAGGGATTTAATTTAAGTTACCATAATAGGGATCTATAGTAAATAATAGGGTTTCCGTATTATGGTAACTTAAATTAAATCCCTTAACAAGAACCCAGAAGATGGTTTGCGGCGGCAAGCTCTTGCTTGCGACCATCCTTGCAATATCCCTAAGGGTCCAAGTACCTTATAATCATATACTCTCCCAAATATTAACCTCGAAAACTACTATCCGCAACCAAAGTACCTTGTTATTGGGTCCTTTGGACCCTTAGGGTATCCTGTTATCCAACAGCCCGGAGTGGCGTATACCTCTTAATCTTGGAATACACCTAAACATAGAAAGGTCGTGGTGGTATGATCTCCTCAACCCTGAACCTGAAACCCTAAACCCTAAATCGGAAAGTTTCCGTAAGACATGGGGGCGGTACCCTTGGATCCGAAACCCAAGGTTGGCTGTGTCAGTTGACCGCCTGCGTCATGTAGTGAATCGGTATAATGTATAATGACAGCAGTAGTTCACGAGATCCATAATGATAACAAATGACAGCAACAAAATAACAAGGAACATAGGGTCCTATCATAGGGTCAATAGGAATAAGTATAATGACAAGTTCATGAGATCCATAATGATAACAAATGACAGCAAAAACAATAATAACAAGGGGCCCGGGGTGGATGGTGATACGGACGTCAGACTTAGGGCCTAAGGGGTTTTAGGTCATCTGGGGTTTATGGGGTTTAGGGCTTAGGGTTGCAGGTCATTTGGGTTTATGGGTTTAGGCGGTCGAGGGACCATGGGCCTCGATAGCTAGAGTTGGTTTACTGATTTGGTTAAACTATTTCTCTAAATTAGGAGGGTTAGGGTCCTTGTTAAGGGTGCCGTACTATTTCAAGGACCTAAACCGGGACCCTAATTTAAAGAAGTACCCATTCAGTGGAGTTGGAGATGAAGGTGTATCGACATAGGGGGTTTCAGGGCTGAGGGTTTTTATGGTTTAGGGTTTAGTATTTAGGGTTCTTGGTTGAGGGTCTAGGGTTTCTGTGGCACATGGGGCTATAAGGAGGCACTATGTGGCTTTGGGGTATACGGATTTGTGCTTCAAGGATTTCAACAGTATGTGCTTGTGCATTTTGTGTTTTGGTGTCGAGTTTGTGTGTCGATTCGGTTGCTGCTGCTGTTTGTTGTTATCTTTCTTCGCCAAACAGCTTCAGGGTTCAGTAATGCGTTCTTGTCCTGATTCTCGCCTTGCGTGTGCATGTTTGAGAGCGGTACAGTAGTGACCGGTGATAGCAGTTTAGCTTTGGGGTTAAAGGCTTGGGGCTATAGGGTGTAGGATGATCGCCTTGTTGACGCTCACCCTCGGACAGTGCCAGGCAAGGTCTCAAGAAAATAATGTAGGGGCCTTAATAATCAGAAAAGGGTTTTGAGGGCTCCTTGCTATAATTATACTAAAATATACCCCCCCCAAACCCTATTCTAATTATTAAGGGCCCGCATATGACAGGACAAAGACATCAACAAAGTCGATTTCTATTGAGCCTATGTTCCTTGTTATTTTGTTAAGAGCCCTTTTAAATCCCCAAACCACACCCATAAGGTCGAAGCCCAAACCCCCAAACCCTAAAACCCGTTACCGCAATATCCAGCCAGCTCCCTTGCTGTTCACCTAGCGAGGTAGGAGGCAGAAAGCCCTCCATCCCAAATTCAACGGTTTAGGGTTTAGGGTTCTATACCCTGAACCCTAAATCCTAAACCGTATATAGGGTTCCTTCACGGGCTCCTTTGAGGGCTCCCTAGATTTGCTATTGGGGGCTCCTTCAAGGGATCTATAGTGATGTTCTGTTAAGGGCTCCTTTGAGGGATACTTGGAGGCTCATGGGTAGTTATAAATGGGGTTATAAAAAGGGCAACTATAATTATAACCCATATCAGGCGCCTTATGACCATACTTATAATTACAACCCTAAACCCTAAACCCTAAACCTCCAAGCAGGGTTCCTTTAAAGGTCGACACGTTCATCTCGAACTCGGGCCTGCCGCCGGAGCTCGCTGAGCAGATCCGCCTCAACACATCCACGACGGAGGCGGGTTTCGGGGTGCCAGGTTCGAGGGTTTCGGGGTTTAGGGGTTTAGGCCATTTCCGGGTTTAGGGTTTAGGCCATTTCCGGGTTTAGGGTTTAGGGTTTGGGGGTTCAGGGGTAGGGGTTTAGGTCTAAGGTTAAATCCATGGGCCGCTAGTATGGGCCCTTAACCCTGGGATCCCTATACACCTACTATCTACCCTTTTTGTACCCCTTAAGGGTCCCTAGCAAGGCCCATTGGACTAGGGGTGCAAGGTTCCAGGGTGGACCTTTCCGACTGGAGACGAGGGGTTCCTTCACGGGATCCTCTACAGGTTGCTGAAAGGCTTCCTTTAAGGCTTACAAGGGATACCATAAGCTTGGTTTTAGGGGTTCCTCTAAGGGTTACTCAAGGTGCTATAAAGGTTTTAGGGCTTAGGGTGCGATGAGGGTTTATGGTTCAGAGTGTTGTGGGGATTAGGTATAATAACCTAAGCCTCAAAGAATCATCTGCATAGATGACTTAGAAGAGCAAAGTAGCATCACACACACAGCCCTACACCCTAATCCCCGACTATCAGGGCTCTGGGGTGAGGGTTTAGGTTGTACGGTTGAGGGGTTTGGGGTTTGTTTTGGGTTTAGGGTTTAGGGCTTTGAGGCGCGGTAAGGCCGTGAGATACTAAATATCAGGGTGTTCAAGGCCTCGGCTTCACCTAGATCACCGCATAAACTAAGTACTAAGCGCCAGAAGGGGAGAATTCCTAAAAGGGCCCAGTGTGGAGAGGTTTGGGGTTAAGGGTTCACAAATTTCAAATGCCAGAGTCCCCATGCTGAAATCGCAGTAACGTCCGGAGACCAAGCAATTTAGGGTTTAGGGCTTATACTCACACCCCCCTTAACTTTTCAAATCCAGAACCCTCAATACTTGGAGGTTCATGGGTAGTTATAAATGGAGTTATCAAGTCCGCTAAAATAGGTTAGAACTACAGCTACGTGGGCTTACTTATAACTTATAACCCTACCTGTAACTACCCATGAACCGCCAAGTAAGCCGGAGGGTCATTCAGCCCTGGACTTTAACCTGACGGTTCCAGGTGCAGGGCACGAAACTAAAAAAGGGGCCAAACACACCAAGTTCCAAACCCTAAAGCCCCAAGCCTGACTTCCACTTTTTTCACACCGACCTTCGAACATGGATCCTCGCCTGGCTTGTCCGAGTTGTGAGAGTGTAAAGCCCCAAGCCCTTCGTGAGTGCTGAAACCTTAGGAGCCCAATAGGTAAACTTTAAACTTTTTGGTATATTAAACCCCCTACTAAAAGAAAAGTTTAAACTTTTTTGGGCCAGGGTACTGGGCTTCAAGGAAACGTCAAGCCTTAAACCCAGAGCCGAAAGGTTCCACCCGAAGGCTTAAAGCCTGAAGCCTAAACCCTAAACCTACCTGAGCCCCAAAAAAACTACGTTTAAGGACTTATTATTTATATAAAGAACTCAGAATAAGGAGGCCTAAGAAGGTAGGTCATTTGCTAAACCCTGAATCTGAGCCCGAATATCTTCCCAAACCCTAAACCCTCAAGCCCACCAGCAAATCCCTAAACCCTAAGCCCTGAACCCGAAACGCTTAGTCACTGTGCTAGGAGCAGGCAGAAGTCCTGATGGCTGACACTGACTGACGAATGTCCGACCGAACCCTAAGCCCTGAACCCGAAACCCCAAACCCCAAACTCTAAATCTTAAACCCTAAACTCTCAATCCTAAACCCCAAACCCTAAATCCTAAACCCTGAACCCTCAATCCTAAACCCCAAACCCTACACCCT